TGCTTATTGTAGGAACATGCCAGATCCCGTGATCTGAGAAGAGAGGAGGGCTCCAGGCCCAAACTGTATTTATGGAGCTCCGCTCTGCCCCTATCTGCCTGGATCTGCTCCAGAGCCTTCTAAACGTTAATTCGTAAAACCATGAATGCATATACTGCTCACATAGGGTTACAAATCACTCTGAGTCACAGCTGGCTTCTGCTCTTTTATAACAGTCAAGCCTCAGGGTCAATTTCAACTCCAGTTAAGTTGCCGGCTGCAGCAAGCCTCACTATAAAACTTGAACTTTAAAACAGCACATGGCTTGACCCTCAAGATCATCATCTTTTCTATAAGAAATGTCATATAAAACCTACAAATCCACTGTGCAAAAGGACACAGAGCTATCGGAAGAGAGTGCCTACATCTGCCAGAAGAGGATGGGAGAGGGCTAGGCAGGTGAGCTGTTTCCTGCAACACCTCCTTCCTCCTGAGGAAGTCCCCAGCCACAATGGCAAAATGTTCTGAGCATCTGGTTGTGACCTTCTGTGTCTTGACTGTGTGAAATAGATTAACATTTTTTAAAAAAATGTAAAGGGGAAAGGTGCCATACACTTTGATGGAGATCACATTCTAGTTACTCATCAGAGAAGTTCTAGGGCTTGTGTTGATGGGCGCAAAGTTACCACAGTCCAAGCTGGAGGGACCTTGTCTCTCCAGGGTAGTGAGTGGCTGCTAGTGGGACATGGATGATTTTGTGGGTCAGGTAGGTGTGGTGCTAATGCCAGGAGCAGTGGGCAGGCTTGTCAGCATGTAAATGTACCCACAGGGTGTGTGTACACAGCTATGCCCCTCTGTCAAGCCTTTATCTCTCTTTATCCGTGCACCTAACCCCATTGTTAGCCCCTGCTTCTTCTTTCCCTGCGTGAAGAGAGATGGAGGCATGTTTTCAAAGATGTATCTGTTCTGCCACCTAGCCTTCAGTGATGTCATTGCACCAAAGCAGCCTGGAGAAACTCCTCTGCCCTGACTCAGGCCTGCTGAATTTCTTTACTGGGAACTTGGTGCCTGTAGACCTTAGAATAGGATCCAGATGAGACCATGGAGTTAGTGACATGCTCTGGTCTCTCCCTGTGTATGTATCTGGGAAATAGACAGGTCAATGGTCAGTTCTTGGAAGTGGAACCAATGAGGTAAACAAGCCTCTCTTGCTTCTCCTGACCCTGTTAGCAGACATCATCAGTGCCCTTGAGATCAAACCAAAATCTTCCAGAAATAGCCAGCTTATGGAGGCTTGGTAAGCATGATGAGCTAGCCAGGCGTTGGTGGCACACACCTTTAATCCCAGCACTCGGGAGGCAGAGGCAGGCGGATCTCTGTGAGTTCGAGGCCAGCCTGGTCTCCAGAGCGAGTACCAGGATAGGCTCCAAAGCTACACAGAGAAACCTTGTCTCAAAAAAAAAAAAAAAAAATGATGAGCTAAAACATGCCCTCTGCCCTTTGAAAGTTGTCCAGGTAAACAGCACAAACCTTTCATTCGCTTGCAGTTCTTGAAGCTGGGTTCTAATCGTCACTTAATTCTTGTCAAAGCAAAGGAGAGAGTGACCTCAGAGGAGATGGAACATGGTGGGTGATATTTAACTTCCAACATCTCTGAGAAGATCATACTCAAAGGCCTTGCAGAGCTCAGCTATACACCACAAGCATCAAAGTTAACTTATACACAAGCAGCAAAATTCATGGCTGCAAAATTAAGCCAGTGGTCAAGGATGCATCTGGGAGTAGATTTGAATCTGACCAGAATAAGCTGGCTATCTCAATGACATTTGTTGATGTTAACTCCCCTCAGCCCCCACCATCTTCTAAAGGTAATTGTAAAGAGCCTGGAGCTTCTGGAATAGTGGGCAGAGAGAATGGAGTCATGGGAGGCCCATATGCCCCAACACCCAACACCCTCCTCACTGAATGTCACATATGGACTGCTGAGCACAAAAGTCACCTCATCAGACCCCTCTCTTTGAACAAAATTCCTGCAGACAATCCCAGGGTGCTGAGGGGGGCTACATCCTCTGAAGAACCCAGCCTGTGTCCTTGAACACCAGTGCCTGCCTCTCAGTTCCTTCTTCCCTCTCAGAAGCAGTGATGGAAACTTCGGCTTAACACAGTCTTTCATTGAGCTCTCCCCATGAGCCCACCCATCTCTCCCATTATCCCACTGCCACCATCCAAGGACCAGCTCCCCATACTGTCTCTTCTTTCTTCTCTCTACCTAGCTATCTTCTCCACAAACCATCTCCTCCTCTTTTCCTGGTCTTCACACAACGTATTTTCAAGCCACAAGAAACCAGCTAGGAAAAAAATAAGTTGTCACTGCAGGCCATCTTTTCAGAGTGCGGGATGAAGGGAACTGGGTAATTTACGGTCCCTCAGAAGAAACACCTAGTTTTCCAACTTATCTCAAATGCTGCCCCAAGCTGAGCTGAACCCAGCCCCACAACCTGCCCTCCACATTCTACCACTCTTCTTACCTGAACTTGACTTAAATGAGAAAACAGCAGTTGATCTCGAATTTGCTCCCTGCTTTACCAACAGTAGAGACAAGCAGTTAGAACTTTTTTGTTCTCTCTCTCTCTCTCTCTCTCTCTCTCTCTCTCTCTCTCTCTCTCTCGTCAGTGCACACAGCTCTTTCCTCCCTCTCCTAGCCAACACAACACCTAAAACTCCATTGGCATTAGATGCAAAAGTACAACTTTAAACTCTGGGCTTGTTTTAAAACTTGCCTTTCAGCAAACAGGGAATTGAGATTATGGATTTGGATCTGTGGATGTGAACGGCACTGAGTGAGATGCTCCCGAATGGAGCTAGCAAGGGCAATATTTTCTCAAAAGCAGTCCTCCAGAAAAAAAATCTTATCATAGATAAGGGTGCAGTCTAGTGGCAAAATTCATGAAATGCAGCCCCTTTTCTAAAAGGAAAATAGAGCGCTTAGCCAGGGAGGAAGAGACTGGGACTTGGAGAAAAGGCAAGAGCCCCACCCCAAGAACTCCCCAGAGATAGTCACTTCATCATTTGGTTTTGATCTGTGGTGGGCAGTCTACAACCCACCTAGCATGTCAAACTCATTTTTAAAAAAGCTATGACCATCATATTCCTTCTTTCAAGGATTAGGTTTTCTTTTGTTTTCCTAAGGAAAGAATGGTCCCTAGTGCCAACCAGCAGTCTGGGGTTTCAAGTGCCATGGTGAGGTCCTGGGTGTGGATCTCTCCTGTCCAGATCCCTGAGCTGTATTCCTTTGCACCCATTAACCTTAAGACAAGGTTTCCTTCAGTGTGGCAGGAACAGGAACAGGAACAGTCTGGTAGCCTGTTATCACTAGTCTACCTTCCTTCCATCTAAAGGGACATTTAAGGTGTCCATAGGAAAGACACCTTAGATACCAGGTAATACTGACAACCCACAGCGTTTCTTCCAGTCTCAGTCATTACTCCCAACAAAGCTAGATGGTATCCCTTCTTGAAAGTCCACATAAAACACACACACACACACACACACACACACACACACACACACACACACACACAAAGAGTTTCCCTGGTCAGCTATGTAGGTGAAGGAAAATGGCCACTGAATGCAACTAAAACCAGTACCCCACCAGAACACCTACAAGCCTCTTGCCTTTATCCCCTTTCCCAGACTTTTGATGAGGGCGGGATCTTCCCCACCCCTCCCCCGCCCCTAAATTCATCCCAACAACCATCACGGGCTAGTGTGCACTACTTGTCCCCCGAACACAACACACAAACCTTCAGTGGTCACTTAGACGCTTTTTTTCTAAAGGTTGGAAAGGACTTCTTAGGGAGGTTATACATGGCTAATAAGAAAATGTGAGTCCTAACAGCCAGGGTCCAGGCTAGTTGTGGGGGAACCGAGTCATTGCATTGTGTTCAGCCAGCTCGTGAAGATTACTATCGTCTATTCCTCCCTCCACCTTCTCCCTGCTCCCTGTAGCTTCGGTCTGTCCCCCAAGCCCTTTTCATACATTCCATGGGGCGGAGGGCAGTGTTCAGGGAGCGAAGGGGAGCCCCCGTGTGTCTAGAAGGCCTCTCCCCACCCCCACCCCGTGTGAGTTTGTGCTGCAAAGCTCCTTGGCATCCTTGCATGGGTTGGGTGTTGGGGAGCTCAGATTGCAGCTACAACTGGCTGGCAGCCAGGGGCCGTCTATTTAAAAGCGCCTGCTCGACCAGAGCCCGCAGTCTCTTTGGAAACTTCTGCCGGGGGGTAAAAAGAGCTAGCAAAGAGCTGCAAAGCTGTTTGGGCTTTTTTCCTTTTTTGTTCCTTTTCGTTATCCCCCTCCTCGATCTGCACCCTTCTCCGGAGTTCACGCAGAACCTGCGTGTTTCGAAGAGGTGGTGGCAGAGTGGGAGACAAGAGGTGTTAGGGTCCAGGTTTAGTGGGGTTTAGGTTTTTGCTGATTTTTTTCTCTTGATTTCAACATTTCCCCCCATCTTCTTGGCAGCCGCCGACGCTTCTTACCTGTTCTGAGGCAGCGGCGAAGCTCGCAGCAGAGGCTTGGAAAGGAGTGGGGGTGCATTTTAGATTTTAAGCAACAACAACAAAAAAAATAAGCCAAGCCCATTTTTTTCTTCATCACCCCCATTTCCACAGCCTCCAAGCTCATTATTTCTGTTGCTTTGGGGTGAGCAATTCTGTGGTCCCCCCCACCCCTGCAATCCTGACCCGACCCCGCCTCGGGGTTTCTTCGGTCTCCGCTCGCTCTGCGTGCACCTGGCGCGCCTCTTTTTTTCACCCCCAACCTGTTGCAAGTCTTTAATCCTTGCAATTGGGACTTGCGTGCAGGCACCTGAATCCTTCTTGCCTCATATTTTGCAAGTGTTTGGGGGAGGGCACCTGCTCTACCTGCAAGAGATTTAAAAAAAAAATCTCCAGGCGCCCTCTTGGCCCCTTTCTCTACGCACTCTCGCTGTCCTGCCCCGCCCCGAGGTAAGCGAGACTCGGAGAAAATGGTGCTCAGCGCGGTCCTCCTGCTGCTGGCCGCCTATGCCGGGCTGGCTCAAGGTCTGGGCTCTTTCGTGCACTGTGAGCCCTGCGATGAGAAAGCGCTGTCTATGTGTCCCCCCAGCCCTCTGGGCTGCGAGCTGGTCAAGGAGCCTGGCTGCGGCTGCTGCATGACTTGCGCCCTGGCGGAGGGGCAGTCGTGTGGCGTCTACACTGAGCGCTGCGCCCAAGGTTTGCGCTGCCTCCCCCGGCAGGATGAGGAGAAGCCGCTGCATGCCCTGCTGCACGGCCGCGGGGTTTGCCTCAACGAAAAGAGCTATGGCGAGCAAACCAAGATAGGTGAGCGTTCCCGGGGTGTCAGTTGCACCGCACACGGCCAGGGAGTGGGAGGGGGACTGGGACTGGTGGGGACCCGGGACCGGTTGGGACCCGAGCGCTTTGCGCAGCATGTGGCTTAGACCGGGGTAGCTCCTGGGAGTAGATGAGGTAGGTCCTTGCAGCTCGGACTTGGACCTCTGGCAGATGCTGCTATCCTAGGCGTCTGTCTAACCCAACCTCTTGCAGTTTGCGCTCCATCTCCTCTAAACCTCCACCCCAGCCCGACCCTCCCCCACTCCTTAACTCGTGGCAATCCTGACTCCGAGCTCCTATTGAGTCTCAAAGTCCAAATCCCGTGTACCCACTCTGAAAAAGAACAGGTTAAATTATCAACTCCCTTCTCCACCCCACCCCACCCCCACACTTTGTTCCCTAAACTTAAAAAAAAAATCTTTTCGTTAAAAGGTCATTTTAATGGGGGCCTGGAGATGCGTTACACATCTTTGGAGTTAATTCTACCTTGACCCTCCAAGCTCCACTCCCCATCCCGTTGCCTCCAGACTTTCCTATCCCCCCATTCTTACTTAGTCAGGGGTGCAGCACAGATGCACACACACACACACACACACACACACACACACACACACCACATCTTAATAACTAATGCCTTTGGCGCAGAGGTGTTGAGACCTCATCCATATTTACACTTGCTGCTTTTGAAATGATATGATTGATTATGATCGATGACAAAACACATTAGACTGTAAAACGTGTCTTTTTTTTTCCTCCCAGGAAGAGAAAGAATACTTCAGGAATATTGGGGTAGAGTGTGGGGTAGAGGGTGAAAAGGGGTTTGATGTTCTGTGCTGAATATTCTTCCCTGAATCTAATGACTTTTTCCCTCCTGAATTCAGATTTTTACCTAAGATTAAAAATGGACATAGGTTTGAGAGGTAATGAGAGGTGTGGGATGAAGACACCCTCAAGTTCCTAAATGCGCGAGGGGCCCTGGAAACGCAGAATTCAAGGGGCGGAGACAGGAAGACCATGCACTGCGAGCCACCCCTCCTCTTGCCCCGCCCATCATTGCCCCGCCCCTTCTTGCCCCGCTTCCAAGTTCTATGTGCCAGAAGTCTATGGTTTAAGTGATTGACAAAGCGATGCACAAAATCTGAGCTAGGAGAGATTAACAGCTATTGGCTCTCTCCTAGAGGAGCTACGACTTAGCTAAATGTTTATTTGGTACAGTTCCTTACAAAGACAAAGGCCTTCTCACCACCTGTCATCCTCTATCACTCACAAACTCTTCAATGTGAGGAATTTTGTAATTTTTACATTTTTTAAAAATGTAAACTAAGGACCTAAGGATTGAGCTTAGCATCTCTCCCCAGGAAATTCAGGTTTTGACTGTCACAAGAAGTTGCCTCATGAGAGGGAGAGGGGCGTACAAATCTCGGAAGCCCCAGAGACCATTTTTCCGAGTTATTTTTATTACATTCCTGACCGTCGAAACGTTAGGAATCCATTACCTGGCTTGGAGACAAGATCTGTGGCTAGCAATCCCATCACAGCCTAAGTGCACAAGTTATGACTCCGCAGTATCCCGGCCGCACTTTATTTGCCCAGCCTTGTGATTGACAGGGAGTAGTTGGGCTAGATATGTGCGCACGCGCGCGCGCAAACACCGGGCCAACAGAGCTGCAGCATCCAACTTCCCAAGCCAACCCAGTGCACGCGCCCGCGTACATGCGCGCGCGCACACACACAGACACACAGACACACACACACACACACACACACACACACAGGATTTTTGTTCCGCGCCAGGTCGCTTTAGCATTCTCTGCAGCTGCTTCAGTCCCCACCTTCTACAACCAACCCTAAGCTGCCAGTCCCCTCTCTCCTCGCCCTCGCTCCAGCCACAGCGCTTCTCCCCGACCCCAGCCCGCCTCAGGCAGGTGCCTAGCCAGCTGCGGTTGCGCCCTGGCTGCTGTCCACAGTGGCGAAGGTTG